TGTTTCCTAATTTTGAATGGAGTTCAAGAATCAAGAGTTGCTCATGAGGGGTTAAATTCCCACGTTTGATATCTGGCTTTAAATAATTCAGCCACCTCAGCCTACAACTTTTCCCTGTTCTCTTCAGCCCTGTTTCAGACAAACAATTAAACCCAATTACTACTAAATCAGTGTTATCATTATTATTATTATTATTATTAATATTTTATTTATTTTTTGGTGTGTGTGTGTGTGAAAAAACGAAAAAAACCTGCAAATTTGGCTAGAGTGTTCCATTTCCCTTCACCATGGCAAGTTATGTACTGAATGAGAAGATTATCCTCTTCAAGTGTCCATGGCCCCCTTCTTAGCTCTGTTCCATTTTCATACCCAATACTTTTCGAATTTTTAATCTCATTACAATTCATTTTGGGAGAAAGGTAATTGAAAAAGGGGATTCTTGTGCTTAATTCTTATAGTGTTTAATTTTCTGTACTGATCACTCTGGCTTGGGAAAGATTTCAAATAACTTTGAGAAGGTTTTATAGACATATGGCCGAGTGAAGCTAGAAAATAAAAAAAGAATAAAGTTGATCCCATTTGTAGGTTTATTTTTTTATTTTCCCCATATTTTATGGCTTTATTTATCATTAATGATAGCCTAGGCAGAATTTTTCTTTGGTTTGGGTTGGGGAGAGGTCTAATTCAGTGTGTGNAGTATAGCCTAGCGAATTTTGCTATCAAGTGGACGAAGTCAACCCAGAAATTATCCAATCACCTCAAAATAAAATGACGGGTTCGTCATCAAATCTTTAGCTATAGAATGAGCTAATTAGTCTTAATGTTAATAAATTCACAAAAAGAAAAGAAAAAATGAAAAAAAAAATATGAATTCCTTTGGCAGCCCCTGTAAAATAAAATATTACTTGTTCATCTCGTGTTTACACAAACACAATAGCTGGTGTGAGTGATACGGTACCATTATTGAGGCCAGGAATACACAACCCACAACCAGTCCATATAAAAAGTTATGGCAAATTTACATAGTTGTACTCTATATAAGAGTTATTTACATATTTACGATTGGTACACATTTTTATCAAATAGGGATGTTGTAGACATATATATTTCACTAATATGAATCTTTTTCTCTCTCCACATAAAAACCTTGTATTTAATTAGACTGAAATGCAATCAAACCGGATTTTCAAAAAAATAAAAATAAAAAGTAAAATTAAAAAAAAAATCTTACCAAATATGATACCTACCATGTTGGGTTGGAAGAATTCAAAAATTGAAACAAAGAACACAAAAATCCAATTGCCGTGATTTTATGTTCATCCGGCATGTTGCAGTCAGAAAAAANAAAAAACAGTGTTTGTGCAATCTTTGATGTTCTTAACTCGTGAGGTAATGATGTGATCGTGTTTTATTTAGCTTTTCATAAGCAATTTTGTTGTGTGTGTGTGTGTTTTTTTTTACTTTAATTATTTCTTATGTGACACGACGAGTTTTGATTTATGGATTTTCAGGAATTAAAAAACAAAAATAATCGTTGAAGCTGAGAAAAAAACAGTGTTCGTGCAATCTCTGATGTTCTTAACTCGTGAGGGTAATGATGTGTTCGTGTTTTTATTTAGCTTTTCAGAAGCAATTTTGTTGTGTTTTTTTTACTTTAATCATTTCTTATATGACACGACGAGTTTTGATTTATGAATTTTCAAGAATTAAAAAACAAAAATAATCGATTAAGGTGAGAAAAAACAGTGTTCGTGCAATCTCTGATGTTCGTAACTCGTGACGATAATGATGTGTTTGTGTTTTTATTTAGCTTTTCATTAGCAATTTTATTGTTGTTGTTGTTGTTTTATTTTATTTTATTTTTTTTACTTTAATCATTTCTTATGTGACATGACGAGTTTCGATTTATAGATTTAAAGAATTAAAAAAAAATAATAATTGATCGAGCTGAGAAAAAATCAGTGTTCATGCAATCTCTGCTGTTCTTAACTCGTGAGGATAATGATGTGTTCGTATTTTTATTTTGCTTTTCATTAGCAATTAATTTTTTTTATTACTTGGATCATTTCTTATGTGACACGACGAGTTTTGATATATGGATTTTTAGGAATATGTCTGAAGTAACTGTGTTCATCCATCAACAATGAATACGTCGATTATCAAGTTGGAGGTATTTTGATTAGTGAATTATGCAACTACAACCAGCTTCGAGATATTGTAACTGAAAATAAACTCGTATTCAAATAATTTGGAGATGATGTATCAAGTGAAAGCTGAAAACCCACCTATGAATGTGAATGATGATAGTAGCCTCCACTTCTATAGTGCATTGAAGTTGAAATAGTGAGACTATAAAAATTTTCCATTGCGTGTAGTTGTAAAGCAATTTATCAATGCCACCTCACCCGTTGGAAGCATCATACAAATGTCATTGTCACCGTCTATGTGTGATATAGAGACAGTAAGATGTTTGAAAACGGTAGAAGAAGCATCAGAAGATGATGGTTTTTTCAGAGAGTTCGCCGAAGATGCTACAGAAACTATGCTGAAAACAACAAAGTATACGAAAGATAAATTTGAGATAAACAGCAACAGAATACATGGTGCTGTGATCGATGGATCCATAGATTTTGATATTCTGTTCGTCGAAACATTCTCCAACAAAAGTGAAGTGATGAAAATGCTCAGCCTCCATGAAATTACAAACCAATATCAGTTCGAAGTAAATAAGTCTTGCCCAAAGCAGTACTACGTGAAGTGTATAGGTGCGGAATGCAACTGGTATGTGAAAGCTTCGAGCGTAGGGAAATCAAACAATTTCAAGATTAGAGATGTTGTGTGGAACCATGTTTGTCCATTTGAGATATGTATAAGTGCTCAGATCCAGGCTACATCAAACATTGTAAGTGGATTCATTCAATCAAAATTCACAAATTTGAAAACAACTTGTAATCCAGTGGACATAATACATGACATGCAAGTTCAGCATGGGATAGAGTTGTCTTACCAGAAGGCATGACGGTGAAAGCGAAAACTATGAAAGAAGTTCAAGGTAATATTGACATGTCTTATGGTAAAATTCATGAATATCTGCAAAAAGTTTTTGAATCGAATCCATATAGTGTTATGAAACTTTCGACCATATTGGACCAACACTTCATGTACGTATTCATGTGTCTTAATGCTTCAATTAAATGATTGAATCAGCGTAGACCTATTATTGTTGTCGATGAGACTTTCTTTAGTTCGACATACGGAGGGATATTGCTTACATCCTGTTGTCAAGATGCAAACTCCCATATGCTTCCATTGGCATTCTGTATTGTTGATTATGAGAATAATGATTCGTACACCAGGTTCTTTATAAAACTGAAGACATCACTTAGTGACCCGGAAGGTTTGTGCATTGTGTTTGACGAGCATGAAAGTATCAAACATGCTGTGGAAAAAGTACATTGTTGTATATTTAATTATTTGTAGGTATGTTGAACAGATATTGTACATATTTATATACATCCAATTTCGCATACTAATTAATATTTATGTGCATTTATAATGGAGGTTTTTCCAGAGGCTTCTAACTGTTTATGTTCTTATCATCTGCCGAACAACTAGAGGAACAATTTCTAACGAAAAATGAGTGATGTTAAAGATGTATTGATTGCAGCTGCAAGGGCGTACACGGTTGAAGATTATAATCATGGCAGAATAAAAAACTCTTGATCCTCGAGTTCCACCTTACTTGGAGGAAATTGGAAAACAAAAATGGGCGAGGGTGTTAGCGTTATATACTGAAAACTTGGCTTTGCTAGTACACATTTGTCCTTTATGAATGAGAATCATATTAGATTAAACAAGTTCTACGTGTTCTGCACTTAGATAGAGGGGGTCGTCATCGGGCGAACCGAAGATCACTCTATCAGTTACTTGCGAACAAGAATAGTTGTTCACAACCTAGATGGACATGAACACCCCATCCGAACGGTTGTAGTGTGAATTGTACAGTTTGTCTTGACTGATTAGTTGCACTAGTACATTTATGTATTGAACAGGATCCCAGAGATGAGAAGTTCATTTTATATTGATCGTCGTAAATGAACTAGACCTCGGTTAATTACTGCATTCTCTTAACCCGTAAGATATTAAACAGGCAGATATATGTAGTATATATTACTTTGATTCACTTGGGTGAGGTTCAGTTTGCTGGATCAATATTCTTACTGTTTTAGGTAATATTACTATATATATGATGTACTGCTAGGATATTTACAGTCACCATGTGCGTTAGTTTGATGATGTCCCCGCAGTGAGTTCATGAATGATTGTTATGCTAAACCCTGCAGGTGGATTAAATTCTGGCATAATACGAATGTGATGAACGAGCGCTAGCTTCGGTGAAATAATAATAAATTAATTAATTAATTCTTGATTGTCAGTAATCGAATTAATTAATGGACATTATATCTTAAACGTGGAAAGGTAAATCGAGTAATTATTATTGGAGTCTCAAATGTAATTTGGGCTAGGAAAATGGAGTGCAATAATATAATGTTGGTGACCTATTAATATTATTTAATTAATTAAAGGAGTGGACTTGGCCCACAGTTAGTCTAATTAATTAAGGAACCATATTCCTAATCTCATAAGGGTCCCTACTATAGCTCTATATCTACATAATTAAGCTCATGAGAAGAGAACTCATATCATTATTCACGTGAATAACGCCGCCCCCTCTCCTCTCTCTCTCTCTCAGTTCTCATTCGAGCTTTATCTTCTTCTTGTTGCTCCACTGGTCCAAGTTGAAGAGGGGTGTATTGAGTAATACAGTAGAAGATCAATACGTAACCGAGATCTGATTATCTTCTACAGAAAATAAATCCACGATGAGCTCGACCCGCTGGACCGCCGACCCGACGAGCCAGACCCGCCGGAGACCAATCGCGATCCACCCTGTTAGTGTTATATACTGAAAGCTTGGCTTTGCATGTTATTACACATTTATCCTTTATGAATGAGAATCATGTTAGATTAAACAAGTTCTACGTTCTGTTGTTCTGCACTTAGATAGGGTGGGTCGTCATCGGGCGAACCGAAGATCACTCTGTCAGTCACTTGCGAACAAGAATAGTTGTTCACAACCTAGATGGACATGAACACCCCATCCGAACGGTTGTAGTGTCAACTGTACAGTTTGTCTTGACTGATTAGTTGCACTAGTACATTTATGTATTGAACAGGATCCCAGAGAGGAGAAGTTCATTTTATACTGATCGTCGTAAATGAACTAGGCCTCGGTTAATTACTGCGTTCTCTTAACCCGTAAGATATTAAACAGGCAGATATATATAATATATATTACTTTGATTCACATGGGTGAGGTTCAGTTCGCTGGATTAATATTCCTACT